AAAAAAAAAAAGGCGAAAACAACCCAAATGAACACCACTGGACAAATGGATAAGCAAAATACAGTATATATAGAACAGAATATTAGTCTTTAAAAGTTAGGAAATTCTGACATATGCTACAACAATGGATAAGCAAAATATAGAATGGAATATTAGTCTTTAAAAGTTACAAAATTCTGACATATGCTACAACATGGATTAATTTTGAGTGTATTATGCTAAGTGAAATAAGTCAGTCACAAAAAGACAAAAATTGTATGATTCTACTTATACAAGGTACCTCAAATAGTCCAATGCATACAGACAGAAAGTAAAGTGGTGATTACCACAGGCTGGAGGAGGAGGAGAAAATGGGGAATTATTATTTAATGGGTATGGAGTTTCAGTTCTGGAAAGAGATGGTGGTGATAGAATAACTATGTGAATATACGTAATGCCAGCATATACCCCAAAATGGTTAAAATGGTAAATTTTGTTATGTATATTTTATATTTCACAAAGATTATATAAAAGGAAAACAGAATAATATTTTAACTATCCACTTGTACCAGTGGCCCCAAATATCCCTCTAGTAATGTTGGAGGGACATGTCCCTATGTTGCTGAGAAAAGTTGTCTGGTACCAATTAGCAGAGGGCTTGCTGAGTTCACGAGTAGCACTTTATCTTGTCAGTAAGTCAGCCAGTATATATTCTGCCACTGTCAACACTTCCCTCAGAGCAAATTATCTTGCTGTCAAAATTGTTCCATCACCAAATTGCTTATTCAATATCATTAAACAAATATTGCAAGATTATTCATAAATGAGTCATACAGTTGGTATGCTAAACAAAGAAAATAAATTACTAATTCATTTGTTTTACTAAGACCTTGGTAGCAATTTTATTCACGCTACCAAACTGCACCTGTAAAATGACATCAATATAGAAGTAGGAAATATATTTTTATTACTTCCTCTGTTTCAATGCTCAAAATGACCAGAACATTTCAAAACTTGCCCAGTTTTTGTCTTGAAAAGATTCTAGGCACTATGTATAATTCTCTGTAACATTTATCATTAATAATTTTCTAAAAATCATACCATATTCATGCAATGCTCTAATATAAACATACCATTCCCAGACAAAAGGGGAAGGGCCTAGAGATTTGTAAAATTTGCAATGATCTGTAAATCATGAGACAGAGTCTCACTTTGTCGCCCTCAGTAGAGTACCATGGCGTCACAACTCACAGCAACCTTCAGCTCTTAGGCCTAGGCGATTCTCTTGCCTCAGCCTCCTGTGTAGCTAGGACCACGGCACTCGCCTCAACGTCCAGCTATTTTTTGTTGCAGTTCGGCTGGGGCCGGATTTGAACCGGCCACCCTCAGTATATGGGGCCGGCGCCCTACTCACTAAGCCACAGGTGCCACCCGAGAGCTTTACTTTTTAAATGTAAATTTTTCGTCATATTCGTCGTCTCCAAAACTCATTCTGCACTGTATTTTCCCTACATCAGTTTTAGTTATTATTCACTAGGTTTGAGAGAAATCTTAGCACAAGACCAACTATGATCCTCCCTGGGGTACCATATGACTCTGCTTTTCATGGAGTGCTCTGTTGCACTGGAGAAGGAGGCTGATGAGTAAGGGGCTAAGATGATGGTGTCATTATCCCAGTGTCTATTCACTGTGCTCACCTTTCACTGGGTTCACCTTTCACTTGCATGCATTTGCAGACTAAAGGAAAAAATGGAATTATATTCTCTTTGTTTACTGTGGATTTCCTAAGAGCAAAATGCAGAATTGGGATCCAAAAGTGTATGACAAAATTTTTTTGGAAGAAAAATATAAAGCTGTCAAAATGATAATGTCATAAAGACAAAACACTAAATAGCTTTAAATAGTAAAAGAAGAAAAATAAGACATACGCCTTTTAAAAACAATACTAAAACTTTTTAAATTATGCATGAGGGAGAGGGAAATAAGACATATGGCCATTCAGAACGATACTAAGATTTTAAAAATATTCTGCATAAACTAACAAAGTGTTACTGTTAGTGACAAAGACATGAGGGCCAGGGAGTTCAGTTTATACACAAGGAAGTGTTTCTATATTTTTTTCTGTAATGAGAGGATACCATGTTAAGTGTATTAAGTTACACTGTCATTCATTAACCTGAATTA